GAATGCTGTGTTTTTTTAATGACGTACTGTCCTACGTGTTAAATGTTTGTTTCCCCCCCCCTTGCGAGTTGTAAGCCGCCCTGAGTCCCCCCAGGGAAAAGGGCGGCATATAAATAAACTTCTAAGTAAGTAACTAAGTAAGGATTCTATTGTATAAGAAAATGCGAAGAATGACAGAAACAACTGAACCTCCCTCCTCCTGGCTTCTATAATGGCAGCAGGAAAGTGGAGATCAATCTCCAAGCTTCATGCCTCATTCCTAAGGGCTGGAAACCTGATGGTTTTAAAATAAAAAAGGGAAGTGGCAGTTTCCTCTTCCTTTTGCAAGAGGAAAATCACTATAAGCCACACAGGTTTTACATAGCACAAGAATATTTTTTTATCCCAGATCATTTTATTACAATCCAACAGTTCTCAAAAGGATCCACATACAGATCTGCTGTACGGCATGGAGCAACGTTGGCAGACTTTCTCCTCTTTCACCTGACCAAAATAGCTTCTACCAGTAGTAATTAAGGTGCCATAATTTCATAAGAAGTGAAGGGTTTCTTTTAATTGAGCTTGATTTCTGGTATTTTCATAGACCTGACCATGTTATTTTCTTAGGAAAAATACAAAGGTGATTTTCCATTACCCTTTAATATCCTTTGATTTTCTGGTGTTAAATGTTAACACCAGATTTAATTTTATTTAACTTTTCAAGATTGGCTTGGTAGGCTGATTGCTATATTTACTGTTTTATAAATATATGTGCTGTGAAGTGGCATAATTCCACAGAAGTCCAGAAAAAGTACCAAAAGTATTACCAAGGGGCACAGTTCAACTGAGAAGCTCAATTTAAGTTTTGTTAAAAGAACAAATTTCAATCCTTTTGCCAGGAAAACACATCTGAAAAATATTCTACCTCCAACAACCACAGGGATGAGTAAATACGGTTTCCTATGGTTAGGAATAAGGCTTCAACAGACCCAAAAATTCCTTTCCCCTCCCAATTATTAGCAAAGTCAGAATAAATTAACAATGGAATCCCGGGGGGGGGGGGAGCAGAAAATAATACAGCTACGATCATTGTGAATCTGGAATTTGGCTTTCCTAGGAACATCACTGTCTTGGTAGGTAAAAAGCATTTGTTTTTGGAAAAGAAAAACTTGGAATAAAATACAATATGATAATCCCTTTGATTACCAGGTCACATCAGGGATTGCAGTTTAGACCATCAGTGCTGCTGTTATTGGCAAAAACATATTAATAGTAAGTTGCAAGGCTGCTCAGTTTCTAACAGAAAAGAAAGAAAGAAATATGTGTATGTTTTCGTAGATTTTCACAGGTGTAGGTATGCTGGTCTTGTTGTATTCGGGTCTTTTACTCAATCTTACACGGGAAAAGACCCAAGACCTACAAAACAGCTGAGTTTTGACCACCACTTGTCGGCTGTGACCAGGGGGGCATTTGCCCAGGTTCGCCTGGTGCGCCAGTTGGGGCCCTAGCTGAACCGGGAGGCTCTCACAACAATCGCTCGAGCCCTTGTGATCTCTAGGCTGGAA